ACACACACACACACACACACACACACACACACACACACACACACACAGGTGTGGGAAATACTTGTAAAGAAATGAAACCCAAGAAAGCAATGCAATTGTTTCCTGTATTGGTCCACGGTAATCTCATCAGATTATTCTGTGAAAATATAGTTTTGTCATAGGACTTTTTGTTAATTTCATTTATTTCCTGGGAATTGATAAGCATCATGTATCTGACAATAACAAAACAGTAAAAACGTTTGTACTAAACTGTGTGTCCTTGGGGCCTGGGGGAGAAAAGCAGACTTAAGCTAGGAGACTCGTTTCTGAGTGGAGTTACCGTTTGTGTAACTGAACTGGGACCAGTCCTTTTCCACACTACACATGGTCATTTTGAATGTGTGTTGTTTTATGTATTAATTATGTGTGTACATCATGAACACAAATAAATTCCACGGTGCCACCTGGCACACTTCATTTTTTTTTTTTTTTTTAAGCTCATGGCCTGAACTCCGTTAGGCAGGTCAGGTTGCATGGCTGATTACTTCAGTGAAACTACATAAAGATGTAGCTGAAGTTATTACTCTCAGACCCAAGACCCACCATTCACTGGCAGGGCGCTTCCCTGCTCTCAGCCCCCGCGGGACACAATGGTTACAGGTGCACTTGCCACAGGGCAAGGAGCCCTGGCAAACGTCACACTCACGTCTCAGCAACAGCTACAGTGAGTGCAGGATTGTGCTCAAGATCATGCCTTGAAGTGACATTTGTTTTTGTTCTGTTGGATCCGTATACATAGTATATTGTATGTGAATTATAAAACTGAAAATAAGATGGCTAAAACTAGCAAGACTTCCTTTGCTCACAGCCGTGTCTATAATATATAGCAAGACGTGTTTTCACTGATCCCGTTCCTCTTTGTTGGTGTCCGCCTGGGACAGTCAGCCATGTTCATCAGCTCAAACAGTATCCAGGCTCCCTTTCTTAATGGTCTTTCCTGTCACCCACCAAACCCTGATGGAATCAAAAGACCACCTTCCACCATCCAATCAAAAACACTACTTGAGATGCCAGAAACTAAAGAAGACGATTTCTGCCCACCTGACTAACTGAGGCTATTAGCCACGTGTACTTCCTGTGATACCTGAGTCGGGACAAGGGTTCCCTTTCTGTAATGCCATGTTCTGATTGCTCGCTAATACTTTTACACCTGTTACTATATCTGTATCTGTTTACACACACACACACACACACACAAAATACATATTGTTTTGTTTTGCTTTGAGACAAGGTTTCTTTACAGATCTCTGACTGACCTGGAACTCACTCTGTAGACCAGAACCGTCTTGCACTCACAAATATCCACCTGCCTCTGCTTCCCAAGTGCTGGGCTAAAGGTGTGCACAGCACACATGGCTCATACACATTTTCAGGGAATCAAGAGCAATGAATATCATTTTACCCTAGAGCTGTGTTAAATGAGCCAGAACATTTGAGCATAATCTATGCTAAAGTTTCCCTGTCTTCTCCCTCCCTGGCCCTAGCCTCCCCATACTGCAGCAAATGCGGTGTTGTGCAATCCTGAGCCGTGAGAGAGACCTTTAAATCTAGTTGAGCCCAATGAATCACGGCGCCCAGGAAAAGAAATTACCTAGCTATTTCTGAGTTTAAGAAGAAACCTTTTATTCGGCCCTCCCTGCTGAGAACTTCCAGAAATAAGTAAGCATACTGTCTGCACAGCCACCCTTTAGCAGGCACTGTGCGTGAACAAGGCTAATGAGCCCTCATCCTGGGAGAAGCTGGCTTTGTCCTGTGCGGTGAGGGCAGAGTGCCTTGTGCTTGATGTAATGAACCGAGATACTGCACAGTTACAGTGATTGCAGCCTATGTTAACATGAACAGGTCTGTGTCTGAAATATGGGCTATAGTTGTAACTCATAGAAACTGGAGAAGAAAATAGACTTCGTGGATTTCAGAAGCACGACACCTGTTTGTCGGGTCCCTTGCAGTGTCTGACGCTGTGCTGCACATGCCACCTGCATGGTTTTGTGTCTCTGCTGCTCATTCACCAAACCACACACAGGGTTTGAAGCCATGCTCCGCTCTCTGCCAGGTATGCCGCTTCACAAACATTATATAATACGTTAGTGGGATGTTTTTAACTTAGTCACAGGAAATCTTCCCAAATTACTGACACATTTATATTCAATAGAAATGCTATTTTTGTTTCTTTCCTATTTTAATGTTAAAGATTAATGATTAAAATCTAAAAATACTGCTATTCTAAATAGAATTCTTTAACTACTTGGAATTGCTGAACCACCACTATTAGGCATAGGCACTTAATTAGGTATTTCATCAGAATGCTATTTTAGAGTGCCAGATATCCTTCTTTGGCACAGGAGACAAGAAATTGGGTCCATTGAGTATTGTGTTTCTTTGCCCTTTGATGTGATGGAACCTGGACCCACGGGACTCATATATCTTAGCTGAAGACTCTGGTGTGTCTAAGGTGTCTTGGGTCCCAAGGACTGGTCTGCGTTCTCCTTTTCCACACCAACACTTGACTTCAGCCCTCCCTTTCCTGGTTGCTTTCTTCATCACAAAGACTACAAGAAAAGCCACAAGGCCAACTCATTTCTTCCCTCAGCCTTGAAAAGACATTGCTGTTTGTTTTCCTCTCACGTGGACCATGTCACACAACCCTTCTCCCCACCACTCCCCTGGCCACTTGATTAAACACCCCAAGTCTCTGCTCACAGAATAATGACTACCAAGTGGACGGAACGTGGCTTCCTGGTGTTCCGGAACAGCATGACTCAGCTGACGTCTGTGACCTCATCTTTCTTTATTGCTTTGTTACCATAATTATTTCCTTCACCTTCGCTTTGGGTTGTAAAGTTTTTCGAAGCAGAGACGTTTATTGACCCTGTGTCCCCGTGGTGCTTCTCGGTGTGCTGGGTAAGAAGGGCTGGGTGTTAGATACAACAGGTTGTTTCTACAGCAACCAAATGTCAGCCATGTTTGAGCTCTATTAAGACCTGTCCTTCTGATGTATTAGCTCAGCGCTTCACAACAAGATATATATTGAAAACGCAAAGGAAGACTGGAAGTAATGTGGAGAGATTAAGCGAAGTCATGGCTGATTAATACTGGTGTGGGCTCTTAAGTTTCCATGGGTCATCTCCAAGCTGCCTTCTCACTGGACCACCCCGTGTAAGAAACAGGACGCCTGGCTCTAGAGTGTTGACGCTGTCACCAAGCCTTAAACCTTAGGATCGCTGTGAGCTGATCATTAACATTTTACCTTTCAGTAGAATCTACATTTTCTAAAATGGCATCCTTTCTCTATGGGAGTGGGATTGTGGGTACCAAGCTTCACAGATGTGCTACAATGAAGACATCTCTCAGTTACTGGGATGCAGCTTAAGTCAGCTTCCTTGGTTGCTACGCTGTTTTGTAAGCCGCAGTGTGTCCCCCTTGCCAGCTTTCCTTTGGCAGCACTTCGGAGAAGCATTAAGGTAGTAAAAAGAACTCGTGTATCTTAGCTGGGACTCTGGTGTGTCCAAGGGTGACTTGATCCCCAAGAACTGAGTCCAGTTTCCCATCTTCCACATCCACACAGACACTTGACTTCATCCATCCCTTCCTGGTATTAAACGTTAAATGCTCTGGGTTCAAATCCCAGTTCTCCCTTTGTTTTCCTAGTCAAAAGCAGCAACTCCATCACTTAGTGTTCAAATGCATTTGTAGCTGGAGAGAAGGCTCGGTGGCTAAAGTCATGTGATGCTCTTCCAGAGGACCCAGGTTCAATTCCCAGAACCCACATGGTGGTTAACTCCACATGGTAGTCTAATTCCAATCAACAGTATCCAAAACCTTCCGAGGGCTTCCATGGCCTCCATGAGCACTAGACATGTGGTGTACACACGTGCGGGCAAAACATCTGTGCACATAAAATAAAAATCTCAAAAAGAAATCAGTTTGTACTAATGCAACTATTTCAGTGAGCAAATGTTCCAGTGCCTGTAAAATGTTTAGCAAAGTCTCTGGCATAATATAAATGGATATTAGCTTAGAGTCAACTTCCAACTCTTTCCGGTTTCATTTTCATGCTTCGTTTTGCAGAAACAAAAAGGGGAGTCTGTTCATTGAAAGCCAAATGTGTTGTTTTCCAAGATGAATTTGACTCTACTAGAATGCAAGTAGGCCTTCCCGGAAGAGCTGACTCTTCTCCTGGGTAGGAGTTTGTATGAGGAAAAGCTGTGAGCAATTGTCAGCTAAGCTTAAAGCCCGCACGCTCTAGAACTAGTTTTCTGTTGTAGGGATTATTGT